TGATTTCAGTGGCCAACATGGCATGCGGTACCAGGGATCAAACCCGGGTCCTTGCCCTTGCCAGGCAGGTGCTTAGACCACTGAGCTATCTCCCCAATCCCCTCTGTATGGCCTTTTAAAAGGTCAATGGAGCCAGCACTCAGGATGCTGAGGCAGGAGGCTCACTGGTTCAAGACCAGTCTGAATTGCACATTTAGACCCTGTCTCAATGACAAAACACATACACAAAAGTCGATAGAGTAAGAATATGGGAATAAGGGGCTGGAGAGATGGCTCAGTGGTCTAAAGCACCTACTTGGAACAAGCTTGGCAAAGCACAGGGACCGCGGTTCAATCCCCCAGCACCACATGCCAGCCAGCCCTGCCCCCAGGTGGGCTGAGCTGGCCACACACACACACACATACACACACACACACTAAATGAATAAATAAATAAAAATTAAAAAAAGAATAAGGGAATAAACCATATTAGAAAAAGACAATGTGTATTAAAAAAAAAAAAAGTAAAATAAACCACACACTGCATCTTCTCCCATCCACTCTTGCCAAGCTCTAAAAACAAGAGGGAAGACTACAGCCTCAGCTCCTCCACAGCCACCAGCCTCACCCTCAGTGGGCACGCAAGCCCCTCCACACCCCGACCCTGCAGCCACGCTGAGAAACAGCCCTCTGCTCACCATCACACCCCACCTCCAACACGACGTCCTCTTGTTCTTTGCTATACTTGTCAGAGGGCAGGCCCCAAATTTTGGTGCAACAATACTGTCTGACCAACGTGTGCTCACATACCTGGCTGCTAAAGACCCAGCAGACCATACACATAAGTCACTGGTATGGAAGGTCTTTCTGGAAGAGCATCAGGGTAAACCATAGGGTCACCTGCCTGGTGACACCTCTGTGCTTTAAATCATATATGCATCTTGCTAGGTATGGTGACACATGCCTGTAATGCCAGTACTCAGGAGGCTGAGGCAGGAGGACCAATGTAAACACCAGGCCAGCCTGAGCTGCAGAGTAAGACCCTGCCACAAATAAATTAAATAAATAGGATAAATATTTATAAATGCATTCACGTGCACACTCACACACGTATCCTTACACTGACATTAAAATAAACAGTTCAGGTTCCAATGGGATATCAGGAACATGTGTGTAAAAGGTCACATTTTCTCATACGTACTTCTCTATTACTTGAAATTTTTATGATAAGACTATATTGTCCTAGTAATTTGTTTAATAGAATAAAAGTTTCAAGCCTTGCTGGTCTCAAATGGGGTCAGAGCACTGGTTGTCATGGAGAGCCGGATGAATCCACGTTCCTGCGGAGCCACAGGCACTGCCCTGAGCTGCGAGGCCTGAGGTCAGAGTCGACCACCACCCAGCTGCAGGGCTCCAGCAGAGTAACCAGGTTGTCAACGCAAGGAGGGTCCTGAGCTTCCCCAGGGAGCAGCCCATGGATTCCAGCATCAAAGCACCTGGGGTCAAACCCTGACCCCGTGTGACCTTTCCCAGGGGTGACAGAGCCTTCTCCAGCCACAGTCACCTCTCCCATCAACTGCAGTGACCACTGTACCAAGAGCCTGCATGAAATAAGCACCAGCAAAGTGCTTGCTAGCAACTGTTACCAGAAAAGAAAAGAGTCCGGTACAAGCATGCAGATGTATTCTTAGCTCACAGCAAAGTAGGTTATGGTATAAAAATACCATTAAATAGTAACTAAACTAGCGGCACCTTAATGCGCATCTTGCTAGCAACCTCGGCACGTGCGACTTCTTTTTCACCTACCCTACATTAAGGAATCAGGACCAAGCAGATTGGCTCCTCAGAGCCAGGCCACAGCGAAGGCTCAAATCTACCCACACCAAGCCTGGGAACTTTACCGGGCAGGGACACAGCCCCTGCCTCTGGTGGGGAGTGGCCCTGACCCAGTGCAAGGGACAGGGCTGGGGAGTGGCTGGGTGCATGGGGACAGCACTGAGAGAAGGCCAGGTGTGCTCGGGAGGTGGGGCGAAAACAAACATGACCACAAGCGCAAGATTCCTCCTCCATGGATTCCTCTCTTCCCTGGCAACCGGCTTCTAAGCTAGGGAGACTCTAAAATTGATCTGCTCAGATTTTCTAAGTTTATCTATTAACCACCTGGCAGGCGATGGCGGTTCAGAGCAGGCCCGTGGCAAGAAGCACCAAGAGCAGACTGCGATGCCCTAGGCCCAGTGCGGGTCACCCACACAGGCTTGTGGCATGTTCTCCACCAACTCGACTTTGGTGCTGGATGGAGTCAAGGACACATCAAGGTCACGTCCAGGCCCATGTGGGGCCTGGGAAGAGACCCGATAGGCAGAGGTCAAAGGTCTTCCCTGCTGCCTGGATATGGGCAAGTACTGCCCCCAAGAGCTCCATGGGTAAGCTGCCCTCCCAAAAGAGCTTCAAGTACTTCTTTGTAAAGTAGGCATGGATGTCTCTTCCTGAACAGCTCATGTCAAATAAAATCAACCTTTGAATCAATCAGTACCTGTTAGATGTTGAGGCAACACGATCTGCAGTCCCAGTAACCCGCCATCAGGAAGGGTCTCTGAACTCCTGGAATTACACATAAAACCTCTGGGGAGACCATCAGTTCCCCAAAAGCAGAAGCCTGAATCTACACTGTGAGATAGAGTTCAGCCACCACACACGTTACATTGGAGCCAGGTCAGGAGTGTCCCTTATACAGTAGGGTTGACTGGGGCTAACTCACAGAAAACACTTGTCCCACATCTGCAAAGCCAGGCACAGCGAGAGTTCTATGCAGGTGAGGTAGCAGTAGGAGACGAACCCAGATTTCCACACATGGTGGAAGGGAGGACTCAGGCCTCTGCTACAGACTGCCACACCAAGCTCTGAGGTCACCATGCGCAGCCGCACACAGGGTCAGCGAGCCCAAGCTGAGAGAAGATACCCAGGTCTGAACCGTCACAGAAACTTCAAAGAAAACATGAAACACTGCTGCGCATCCATGCTTGGCCACTTGTGTCTGTGTGCAGACTGCCCAGTGACAGCCAGGGAGGCAGGGGGCAGACGCCAAGCTGCAGTCACAGGAAACGGGCTCCTTAGTCTTTGTGCACAAAGCTTTCCCTCTTTTAATTTACAAACAAGACTTGAAGCCAAAACAGTAAAGTTTTTCAACTCTGGGTAGAAGACATAGTAATATTTATCTTTCCCAGAATTGCTAGATTTTAAAAATCTACCCAATAAAAGCATAAACCACACTACCAGCTGGTCCATGTCCTGGGGGGCCCTCAGAGCGGCACCTGGCTGAGCAAGAAGGGACACTTGCTGCCCTGCCACAGCTACCCTGGGTAGCCCCAGGGCAAGATCAGGATGAGCAGGGGAGGGGACCAGCCAGCAGCTGTGGGCCTGTGACCTGGCCCTTCAGCCAAGAAGGGAGCTCATCCCTATGGGTGCCAGGGGCTGTGGCTTTAAATAAACTTGGACAACTGCACCTGGGGCTAGAAGCTACACGGACTGTGCCCCAGGGGCTGTCAACAACTACACTTCATAGCCCAGGACCTGGGGGACCACAACGGGGTGCCTCCCCTACCCAGGTGTCTATAGAAGCTTCCACGGGAATATGCTGGGGGGGGGCTGTCCCAGCTAGCACATCTCCATGCCTGTCTCTGTCACAGTGGCCTTGGACTCTAGGCCTCACTTCTGTTCCAGCACAGAGTGGCCGCCACACAGGTTTCTGTCTGCTGCTCAGGAAGGGCCTGGCAGCCCCTCACCTGTCCCTACCCAATGTCACCCTCTCCCATGTGGTCCCATGCCCTGTCCTCCAGAGAGGGGCTTCCGGAAGCACAGCACGCTAGCCAGCCCGGGCCTGCACCCTGGAACACAAAAAAGAGGCCTAGAAGTTTCCCATTAAGGAGAGACCCCTGCTGCCCTCCTCAGAACACCTGACGCACTGACTGCGACCACCTGTACTTATACACAGGCCACAAAATCTCAGCCGGAGAGTCTCAACCCCTGACCCCTGTCCCGGCCTGAGAACTCACAGGCCCTTGCCCTCTTCCCCGCAGGCTTCCAGCCAGCCCAGTGCGGCTCCGGGAAGCTCTTCTAGGCCTGTGTCCCCAGGCCCACTGGGAGGAGCTGCGGTCTAGACCGGTGGAGGCGCCAGGCTCTCGGAAGCAGCTCTCCAGGTGACCCGGGTCCCACACCCAACCATCAGCTCTGATTGCCTCCACACAGGTCCTGACCCGAATTCTCGGCACGTGCGGGACACCGGGAGGCACTCGCACCCCGCTGCCGGCCACACTCGGGAATCTGATAGCGTTCCTCGCCACCACAAGGGTGCACCAGGCGCTTTTTTAGTAAGGGAGGGGGGGATTTGCTGGTGGATGTGTAAGAGGAAATCGCGCCAGCGCCCCCGCCGCGCAGGAGGGACAGGAGCAAGGGGAGGCCTCGAAGGAGAGCCCAGGAGCGCGGACAGGGTCCGAGGCCACCGAGGGAGACTGGGCAGCCATCTGCCCAGAAAAGACGATCCGGCTCGGGAGCATGGGGACCCTCGGAGGCGCGCTGCGCGGGGCACCTGTTCCCCGCCGCCACCTGCGCCGCCTTCGCGCCCTGGAGCCGCCCCCGCCCCCAATGCGCCCCCTCCTTCTCGGCTGGGTGGCCCCGAAACCAGGAACCTCGCGAGTCCCCACCGCGCTCTGTTCTCTTCCTGGGTGCCCCAGCCCGGGCTCCCTGATCCCGTCCCCCCACCCCCCACGCCATTCCTGCTTCCAGAAGAATCGGGGGACCCTGGCAGGAGCGGCCCCTGCCGCGGCTCGGGAGTGGCGAACGCGCGCGCCCTGGGTGCCCCCTCCCCGCCTCCGCGCCGCGACCCTCCCGCCGCAAATGCGTCATGTCTGCCGGCGCCGGCGACACCTGCTGCGGCCCCAGTCCCGGGCAGGGCCGCGCGCGGGCACCCGGGCCGGGCGGGGGCCGGGGTTAGGTCCGCGCCCCTGCCCGCCGGCGGCTCTTACTTGCCAATGTCCTCGTAGAGCTGGTACTCGTCGGTGAAGCGGGTGCAGGTCACCGTGGTGGCCATGGCGGCGGCGGGCTCGGCGTGCGCTCGGCGGCGCTCGGGCGGCGGCGGCGGCGACACGGCTCCC